AGTTTATGCAACAAAGCAAAATAACTGGCCAATGCGCGGACTGCCCGTGCGAAGATGCGTTTTTTTTGCATAGTTTCCCACAGTTTTTGTCGCTATCGGCATCAGTTTTTTTGACAAATGCTTCTAGCTGAACAAATTAAGACTGACCGCCTGAACTGGCAGGAAACAGCCCCTTAAAATTTCAGCTTTCCAGCTTTCCTGGCTCCTGAGTTATCACCTACTTGGGCGAGGAACATCCTCCTAAGATTTGAGCATTCTAGCTTCTCAGATTCCCAAGCTATGAACTTATCCGAAAAAAATTTTGGCGGGCCCGTATGCGGGTATCACGCGGGTGATGGCGCCAATTTTGGGAATTGGGACCGGCACGTACATGTAGGTTGAGTTCCCGGAATTTCAGCCCCGCAGCTTTTATAGGTCTTGAGATAAAAGTGCGTGACAGACGCACACACAGGCAACCCCTCGTCAATATGCATTTTTGCATTGCATAGCTGCAAAAAACGCATAAAAATGAGTAAAAGAATGTGTTTGCGTTTTGCATATCCTCGAGAAGCCTAAGCAGATTTATTTAAATATTCATCTCTTCAACAAACGAATTTCCAGGAGGAACGCTGAGTGATATGCACGGCATGCGAGCATCTACGAAAATACTAAACCCTCCAGGTGGTCGTTCCACTGGATTCTGGTGAATTATTGTGGAAGTTTGCGATTTCGTTTCGATTGATGTTTTATTTCTGTCGCGAAAGAAAGCTTTTTTATCTTGAAGAAATTCATGATTGCCGCTGGCGCACTTGTAATAATATCTAACTTGTCGGTTCTATCGGCTATCAAGCTTATCGAATCTCTGTGATTGTCAAGCTTATCAAGACTTCATGGATCTCTCGGAGAATCTTGATTAACTTATAGTGCTTGTAAATGTTCTCGCTTCAGTATTGTCTAGAATTTGATCCTTTCTACTGCAAAACCGCTGTTCAGCTTGATTTTATCTTGGTTTTCCACCGAATTTTTGACTAGGGAAATCTTTTTGTAAAGTGTAAAGGTAAAATGAGAATTCGGCGGTTGCCTGCTCGCAAGTTAGCGCTTATCTTCGGGTATCCGTGAGGCATGGATTTAATTTTTGATGTATATCTGTAATTTCTGCTGTTGCGATTCTCATGCGGTTGCTGCGGCTCTGCTTCACTGTTCTTATTGTGTTAGCTGTTATCGGATCTCGTCTGCTCCACACACAGTGTAGAGTCTTTGAATTGTGCCATCACACTCCCCAGACGTTAAAATTGAACATTTAACCAATCTCTTATTCATTTTTTTTGTGAGGTGCCGAATTCTGTCGAGGATTTTAATGGTAACGGCTTGTCGATGCTCTTCGAAGACTCTCCTTGCCAGGACGGTCTTGATTTTCACTGTAGCAGGGCAAGATTTCTGCTGCGTTCAGAAATCGCTGGTCTGCGAGTGGGCCTACACTTCACTGTTAGCATAGTGCGATCTGATCTCACTGCGGCGAAACATTCGAAACTGGTTCTTTTAACTTAGCTCTGTTAAGGAATAACTATAAATGTTGTTTTTTTTTTTGTCCTGCTCATTCAATCACTCATTCTATGAAGCTTTGTGCTGATGTTTCAAAATGGCGGTTATTTTGAGATGTAAGGCTCCCATATAGTTCCACTGATCGGTGCGCGGCGGACAGATGGGCGCGATCCACATATGGGAAGTTTCTGCTGGCTGTGCGCATTGCTGATGCCCATTTTGAACGTTTTCAGAGGCCTTTAGTACTGCCGGAAGTATAACTTTTGTCGGGCTTGCAGGCCGAGGGGCATTGCTTCTTTGCTATTCGTTTCTTGGTGAAGGTGCTAAAATTAGGGCAGTTTGGACCGGTAGAACGTTTCAGTACCGTGCCAATGATGGATTGAGACAACCACCTGGCGAAAAGTGCGCACACGTTGCGGAGTGGAGGTGGTACGGTAAGCAATGGGATTGAAGGCTGTGCATCACCTGCTCGGTCTGTATTCCGGGGTGGCTGAGG